TGTGGCTTCGCTTGATGTGCATATTGACAAGGTGCCTACCTGTCTATTACCCACTACCTCGTCTATACTGGCTCCAGGAGACAGCTGGTCGTTGCTGAAGGGGAGGGGGTGCACGGTCCTCGTGGTCGTGCTAGGCTAGAAGAGTGGTTCGATGTACTTTGTGTGAAGCTGACTGCGGGCCAGCCACCGCCTTGTGTGTGCTTGATTCCCAAATACAGCGTGCTTATGTTTGCCTGTGAAGGAGTGTGAGCCGGCACCGCTGATGAAACGTGGCTCCCATCCGCATGCCTCTCGGTCTTATTCCTTCGTGTTTACACTGCATATGAGGTGTGTGAATGGAGCTGTGGATGATGTGTCACGGAGGCGAAACAGCTGACTACGATGGTGCACACTAGCGGGGCGAGATCGGTCAGATCACGTGAGTGGCTGACAGACTGGTTGTCATGGTCAAACCGGAAGCTGACGAAATCAGACCGTCATCGCCGCACGGGTTGCTATGTCGCGGACGTGGTCCTACCTACAGTCAGACAGTGATGGCGGCTGCCAGAGTCGAATCTGTTCAGACAAGAGATGTGAGTCGCCTCAGTGATAGCAGCGAGGTAAGCGCATGTGACCTATAAAAATAGCCATGTTCTGTACCTAATTTACTTCGGTCTAGCAGGCTCTGCGTTTTGTTTTCTCCGGCTGGTTGGTAGCGCAGAGAGACACAGAGGCGAAGGGCAGCATCACAACAGTGGCGACGCGAGTTCAATCGAACCCAGAATGGCAGTCAGCTTTGAGCAATTGCAAGCACTTTTGCAGGAGCAGCAGACGCAGTCCGAAAAGTCACAGAGGCAGTTGATGGCAATGCTATCACAAAAATTAAACATTCATGTAGAATGGGAACTGGAAGTGAAGCTGACATCGCAAGAAATTCTTTCAGAATGTCAGAAGTTGCTCAAGTTGACTCCTTCTGCAAATGTTGTCGCAAATTCAGAAGCTATGGAGGAGCAAAACTTCTGCCACACTGCCACTTCAGAATCAGATGTGCCCATCAAACTTAAAGATGCGGCGATAGAAATCAATGGCAGTCAGATTACACAGATGAATAGACGCCACGAAACAATACTCCAACCTGGTCCAGAAAGCTGCAGAATCACCAGTGCTGCCCCGAACCTCAAGCCAGTCACCAAACCAGTATTCAGAGCAAAACGCCTTGTGCCAATCAGGAAAGAAAAGCACTGCAGTTGTCATGCGGGGAAAAGTCGGACAGACAGGGTGCGTCATTTCAGAATTGGTGACATGGGGTACGCACGAGAGTTCTGAGGACCGAAGTGGTGGTCAAGAGGAAGGGTGATCCGCAGAAATGGTGGAGTCAATTACGAACAAACGGTTAGAAACAAGAAATGGATCAGGCACGCAGAGCAGCGGAGACCGAACCACGGAAAAACATAAGGGCCCGCAGACAACATATATGGAAGAGCGGCCAGAAGGAGAAAACCACCAGGACAACTGATTGATGTCAAAACAAGGAAAGCTGAACTGACGCAAGTACGCATGGTGGGGAAGCAGTTTGAATTCGGAGGAAGAGGTGTCACGGAGGCGAAACAGCTGACTACGATGGTGCACACTAGCGGGGCGAGATCGGTCAGATCACGTGAGTGGCTGACAGACTGGTTGTCATGGTCAAACCGGAAGCTGACGAAATCAGACCGTCATCGCCGCACGGGTTGCTATGTCGCGGACGTGGTCCTACCTACAGTCAGACAGTGAGGGCGGCTGTCAGAGTCGAATCTGTTCAGACAAGAGATGTGAGTCGCCTCAGTGATAGCAGCGAGGTAAGCGCATGTGACCTATAAAAACAGCCATGTTCTGTACCTAGTATACTTCGGTCTAGCAGGCTCTGCGTTTTGTTTTCCCCGGCTGGTTGGTAGCGCAGAGAGGCACAGGCAAAGGGCAGCGTTACAACAGTAAGCCACCCATAATCCCTCTGTAGGCGTAGGCGTCCTATGGAGGCCGCAGTGACAAGTAAATCCGGAACCGGATGTCCCCAACCATATATATAAAGCTCAAATGATTAGTTTGGATTATCAGATAATGCAACCTCAAGCCCCCGGATACGCAGTTACCTGACTTATCAGCTTGTCTAAGCCTAGAACAAGTGTCCGATTCAGCTAATCGTTCTCCAGGAGTTTACGCTCGCCTTGTTTACGTCTGTCCTGATATAGCTGGACTTATAGCAATGTTCAGAGGAATGGTTTGGAACTCGATCACGGCTGACTGTTGCGCTCGTTAGCCCGAAGCCATTTCATTCGTGTACATTTCTGCTAAAATTGTAAAGCGAGAAATCGCTTAGCGTCGGGTTGCCGCTCACGGTTGTTCTGAGGCTGGTACTACCGACTGTAGGCTACAGTTAGAATCCAACAAGACCCTTGAGCTCAAAATTTAAAGCTGTCATCAGTACCATAGCCTGCTGTCCTGCACAAAATGATGTGCCCGAAGACTTTCGTAAAGACTGAAGATTATCCTTAGAACTGCCGACGCATGGAGACGCCGCATAAAGCATCGCTGTTATTGATCAACGATCGGAAATGAACTTTCCACATCAGGTGCGGAACTGGTACACCCACTTGTGACTGTTAAATCATGTCTCCAGTGCACCAAACACTAAGCAAGAAAACAAAATCTGCGCTGGACAAGCTGAGGCCAAGATGCATCAAAATATCTTAATCATTCCAGGTGAACGTGGTCGCCACATTCTCGACCACTCACTCACTTTACGCACCTCTTCGCCCGTGCTTATGAGTTTTGCCAACCACTAAAGCGCCAAAAAGGTTTTTCAACGTTATTTTCCGAAACGATCGCGCATCATTGATCGCCAATGTGAATGCAGACATGGACAGCTTCAAGGTAGTGCACTATAAATGTGGCAAGTTCGCAGGAAAAAGAGCCTCATCAGTGACTCGAATGGATAACAACATTCTGGTGACAACTGAAAGAAGGCCGCAAATAGGGGTTTCAGAATGTTGCAGTTAATACGCCATTCTTTCGGGGGCTTAACTGCCGACATATTTGTGGAGCTGTTCTCAGCTTTCGTTCGGCCCCATCTGGAATACTGCGTCCAGGCTTGCCCGCCCTACCTTGTTCGGGACAAAATGGAGCTCGAGATGATTTGGAGTAGGTACCAAATTGGTCGAGGGGTTACGGGGACAATCGTACCCCGAGCGTCTACTTAGCTTAGGTATGTATTCAATGCACTACCGACGGCTTCGAGGAGACCTAATCCTTACTTACCACATTTTAACAGGGAAGGTTGGACCGGACTTGAGCAGGCTATTAAGCCCGGCTAGGTTGACTTGTCTTCGCGGTCATCTTATGCAGCTACACTAGCCGCGTCCCGACCGGATCAGGGTGGAAACTCGGTTATCGCGTAGAGTTATCGAGCGCTGAAAGTCGCTTCCAGAAAGCGTAGTCAGTGAACCTACGGGTAAGGCTTTCAAATGTCCGTTAGACGTTCTTGGCTGACAATACGAATTCTTTTCCTTCTCCTGACCATATCCATCTAACTTTGAGTTCATATTCTGTCATTCTCCTCACCCGTTGGTTTTATGCTTCATTTAAATGAATTTCCTTCCCCTTTATCTTTCATTTTCAAGGTCTTTCTTCCTTCACGTGACTTACACAGGGGGACTGCTAGTGCAGGAAACGTGGGCAGTAATTGAGTGACTAAGGTGTGGTTCGGGTGTTTCTTTTTTAGATCTATCAAGACCTCCTGCACCTTATTATTTCCTGGATCAACGATCCGCTTAAGAAGGAACATTCAAGAGATCTTCCTATCGTTCCAGTCCAATCTGAATCTAATTTAGTTTCCAAGAGGTTGGACGTGAAGTAACAGCGGTAATGCTTCCTTTTAATACAATATATATACTTTCTTAATCCCTATAGTACTTACTACGAATCGCCCTATAAGGTTTACATACAATCAGACAGATACACAGTAAACGTTGGACACTAAGCTGAGGGAACTTGATTAATAATTTTTACCTCAGCAGGTTCAATTAATGATAGAGTACAGGAACGGTAGCAACGATAGGAAAATCCCGTGACCACGCAATTGTAGCAGTCTGGAGATTCCCCGGTTTGCTTGTGTAAAATTCTAACCAAAATTCTTTAATTGTACACTTAGGCAACCGGTGTGGTTTGTTGAACTGATTGCTGAGTTCAAATGCTTTACTTGCTCATCGCCATTTTTGCTTGGCGCTCGCTTCGGTTGCAACGCGCGACTGCTCTGTGTGCTGTGTTTGCTCCGTTTCCCTAGCTATAGCGTACACGGTGTCGTTCGTTTATAGCTAGCTAACAGGGAATCTTTTGCTGAACTAATAAAAGTTTCCCTGCAACTCGATCCGTCTTCTGGAATCGCTCTCTGGGCTCCCGGAATAGGCAACCCTCTAAACAATCACCAGCAGTTGCGTGCGGGCTAAGTATACTGCGAGGACGTCTACTCCTACACGGATTCGAACTGGTGGCCTAATGATTGCAAACTAGACGCGCAGACCACACAGCCACCGGCCGACAGTCTAGATTCCGTAGTTGAGCAAAACCGCAAAAAAATGAAACTACACACCTTAAACGTAAACACAGCTGATGTAAAAATATTATAGCGCTTAATATTTAGATCTGAGGCGGATAGGAACAAAAGTAACAAAAAACTAAAGCAGCAAACCATGGTTTGCAGGGAGATCGAAGCGATGGGCAGAATGGAGACGAGGTCCCCTAAAAAAGACCCAAGGACGTAGGAAATAAAACAAGCTATAGTATAGTCCGGTAAATAGAAAACACTGCTAAGGGTCGATGAGTGCGTAGTGCAATTGAAACGGAAGTTTTAATAAAACCTACGCTAAGGACCTTGCCGTAAGATCCCGAGGCAGAACCACCGAAAAGCTACGCTTACTCGTTCTGCGCAAACCCGTGAAACCCGTGAAACCCGTGAACTCCAAAACTTATTGAATTAAGGCACTCACTTCCTCACGTATAAATCTTTCATTTCAGACCAATCCTGCTGAAATTCTGCAGACTCATTCGCTTTCCTTTCCAGATACTCCAAGATTGCAGAGCCCATCTCCACCATTGTGAGTTCAGGGTTGATAAAACGCCCGGAGCGTCCTATCCGCCACTTGGAAATAATGTTCTCTCGGTAGTGTGATTCCGGTACACACAGTTATTCACGGGTTTCACGGGAGGTAGGAGATAAATTTTAGGCCATTTAACCCATAGGAATGTTCATTAATAATGTAGGATGCTTGTTGAAATACATCCGGCGGACTTCTTAAACCATTTTCTATATTCCGTTTTCCTTTAACCAACTCACCGTATTAGTTCAACTTTTCCACTTTAATTCAACTTTACAAGTTGTAAAAAATACATTTCACTTTTTGGATGTTTGGAGGTACTGACCTCTTTACAAACACGTTTCACCAGAAGTTTACCCAAAAATCCCTTACCTTTGAGAACGCAGAAACCGGATGTCCTAATGTACAACAGTGCATTCAAAATCGCGCCAGTGTCGGATAGGACGGTCCCAAAAGCGCCTACAAGGCTTTTCAATGACCTTGAGTTCCAGGGTAATTTTGTTCAAGTGCAATTTTACGATTAGCTGGGACTGGAAAAGTTCAAGTGGGACTGGAACGATCAGTTGAATCCTTTATGTGTTTCATCTTGAGCGGCTCGTCGATCCAGGAGTTGACAGGAGTGCTCCGACTTTTTGCTGGGTCTTAAACGAAAACACCCGAAAAGCACCGTGATCCACGTTCCTTACATTAGAAGTCCCAGCTATGTCAGTTAGGTGAAGTAAGTGAGACAAAGCAAACTCGAAGGCCGTGAGTAAGGGAATCAATTAAAAGAAGTGGATAGTACTAATAGTGAGGAAGTACAGAAAATAGTATCGAAGTATGGAGATGGGAATTCCTCCGGAAAAAGTAAAGAGTTCGTGTTGCTACCCAACAGCATCTAGTTGAAGCGCAAACCCCTTAACCGTAGCTTTCTTGACAACATTTTCTGGAAGCAAGTTCCAGCGCTCGATGACTCGTCGCGATAACCTTGTCTCCTCTCTAACTCGATCGGACCGTGGTTCGTCCAGCGTCATAGACTGCCCGCGGAGACCAGATAATTTAGCAGGACTAAATAGCCAGGACAAATGGGGGTCAACCTTCCCACTTAAAATACGGTAAGTTAGGATTAGGTCACCTCTAATCCCTCGATAAAGCATTGAATGCAGCCCCAAACTAAGTGGGCGTTCGGGGTACGTTTGTCCTCGTAACCCTCGACAAACATAGTACCGACACGTAACACCCTTTCTAGTACCCTTTTGTACCGCACAAGGCATGGTGGATAGGCCTGGACGCAATATGATAGGTGGGTCGCAAAACGCTGTGAGGCGCTTCACAAACCCATTAGCGGTTAGGTTATCGAAAGAACGACGGATAAACCACAACATCCGAAACCCTTTACTATCCGCCTTCTTCCAGTTTTCTCCAGAGTGTAGTGCGGAACAGTGGACGCCACCTAGATCAACCTGCTGAGTCACGTGAGGAAGTTCACTCTCATCCAGCATATAACTTGTGGAGGAATCAAGCACTCCGATGAGCCGCACTGAACACTTCGCCCGGTTTCTAGGCAGCAACCACAAGCCAGACTATACCCAGCTCTATCCAGAGCCGCTTGAAGAGCCACAGGACCTCCAGGGATATCAACCATATTCCAGAGCTTTAGGTCCTCGACAAATAAGTTTGATTGTACCTCAAGCTCCCTCGGCAAGTTATTCATGTAGACCGAGAACAGCAGCGGACCTAGGACAGAGGCTTGCTGAACGCCGCTAAGGACAGCTTATCGAAACGGAAGGCTGCTTCCCACAAGCGTACACTGTTCCAGTCCATCCACAAATCTGCCACCCACTGGTGAGCGCGACCAGATATGTCATAAGACATCCACTTCAGTGATAGTGGCGAATGGGGACTGTGTCATAGGCCTCGGCTAAGTCCATGAACGCCACCCCTACCACATGTCTACTGTCTACGGCTTCAGCCCAGACCTCACGATCTACCAGCAAGCCTGGTTGGCTCGAAAATCCTTTGTGAAAACCACGTTGCTCGAAGCTAAGCAGGTTAAACATATTTAACTAGTTCTCCCTGTATTTCGTAATAATTTTTCATGTAAGAACGACCACACTAGTCAAGCTGACAGGCCGGTAAGTAGCCGGTGAGTCTTTGTCATCGCCCTTGAAAATCGGGTAGATAACAGCCTCCTTCCGCTCGGTAGGTAAGACACAGTTTTTGCGTGACTGCTGAGACACACAAGTCAGAGTTCCACTGAGTTTCACTGCCAATTCATGCACACATTTTGGAGGAACAGAAACTGGACCAGAAGCCTTGGTTGGTTTTAACTCCCTTAGCAACCGGAGAACCTGAAACACGGTTAAAGAAATTTTAGCCAGACAAACTTCCACAGCGACTATTGAAGCTATTTCTCTACATGGCACAGTTGTTGCGCGGACAAAGACGCTTGAAAACTGCTCACCAAGCACGCTCGCTTTGTCATACTCGCTGTATGCATGGGTCCCGTCTCTTCGAAGCAACGGTGGTATGGGCGAGTTTGCACCACTGCCTCGTTTAACGTAGGTGAAGAATTTCTTTGGAATTTTTGGGGCCGTTTCAGCTATGCCAGTTTCATACTGAAGCCGGACAGACTTACGATGTAGCTTGCACTCATTTCGAACCAACTGAGCCATGTCAAACGTGCTGTTCGACGGAGCAGTTCGATACGTTAACCAGCATCTAGACCGCTTCTTTAATTGATTCTTTTAAGCAGTATCTATCCAGGGTGGCTGCGCTCTCGATTCCCTTCCTTTCACCATTGGGAGGTGAGGTGAGCCTTACGCTTGTCCCGTGCTAGGTGTAAGTCTGCGACCCAACTGTTCGGACGCCAACGGGTAGCAGCTTTGTAAGACCTGATTAAGGTACACTGGAAAGATACGGAAACGTGCTTGCTGGCGCCAAGTAGCGTGTCGTAGGTGTTGTCATTTACAAAGTCAATTGACAGCATAAACGAGATCTACAATGGACGGCTGCTGGTTCCTCATGTACCTATTGGAGAGGTCCATGAACTGGTGTAGTAGTACCTGCAGCCTTAATTCCAGCAGATCTGCACCAGATGATCCCAGCGCCGAACTGCACGCTTAAACATCCCAAAAACTGGGTGGTTGAAATTTCCCAGCACCAAACCATTTTCCGAAGCGTGAGTGCGTATAAACTCACTGAAGCCATTGGAAGGGCTCCTAGGGCTTCGGTACGCTAATACGACGGTGACTATAACCGAGGAAGCGCATGTCTAGACAGCGAGAGCCTCAACACATTTGTCGAGTGACTGGAAAACGCTGGTCTTACATATGTCTATGCAATAACACACTAAGAGCTACGCCACCCTCTTGAAGGCTAAGGGAGCGGTCAGCACGGAACAGTGCATAGCCCGGCCGATATACTTCGCCAGATGGGGTTTCCTCAAAAAGCCAAGTTTCAGTGTAAGCAAATGTACCTGGACGAGATTTGTCTACCAGCAGATCCACCTCGCACATCTCGTTCCGCAGGCTACACACGTTACTAAGTCCTACTTGGAGGATTTCGGCACCCCCAGCTCTGGATCGTGCGCAAGCAGGATATGTTCTGGTGGGGCGGAAAATTCCGGCAGATCACCTGGAAACTCACCGACCGGAGAGCTTGCTCGCCAATTGCACGTCGGGCTTTTAGGTCCCTGATGACGCTTTAACCTTAACCCATCCGCTAACGGGTTTGGTTGCGCATTAAGGTTAGTACCTTCGAGTTAGAAAGAAAATCGCGGTAAGGTTCTGTGCGCTTCTGAGGTTGAGAGGACCGCCCTAATTGTGGGCAACAGTTGCTGGGAGAATTTATGGCCTGGGATCAGCTCACGAAATGATTAAGAATTAAGCTTCAACGCGCACCCACGTAAATAATAAAAGTTGGCTTCTAAATGTGAACTTAGTACAAACCCTATTTACCCCATCGCGGACGCAAATGATACCGCCGAGTACGCTTAACATTCATTGATCCAATGGTAGCGGAGAATTTTTCTAGCTCATAACAAAGCTTGCAAAATGCAACGGGTTGCTCACACGTTTTAAAGATTTATTAGGTTAACAACGAGGCATAACTCGCATGTAGCGTTTATTCCGCCAGTTTTGCGTACCTTGGTCACCACAGGCGGTAGAAGAATTGTTCACTGCTTTATCTAATGGCGACATCATGGAAAGCAAAGCACTTGCTAAAAAGGGTACTAAAGCGATGCAGTGTTAAGTGGAAGTTTGCCTTCTACGTACTTATGTTTATTGACGAAGTAGGCAGACAATAGTGTATTCAGCATTTGGGTTCCGTATTTAGAAGATGATATGAACATGCTGGTAGCTGCCAAACGTTGGGATGATGCAGCGGACAACGGCCACGCACTGAAAGTGTTAGTTGTCAATTGTCGAAAGCATTTTGAAGCTTGCGCAAAAGCTAAGTTCTTATAGTATATCCGGTCGCGCTGTTCACTGCTTGCCTGCATTCATCGGTTGGGGAAAGGTGTTTATCCTTTGGCCGCAGCCTATCATTTAGTCAACTGAACACTGTTTTATGCGCTCACAAAAAATGAATATTCAGCTAACCTTCGGTGGCGTACCGCGAACCTCCGTCCTTGGACCGCTGCTGTTCTCCAGCTATGTGAATGACATACCCTTGGAACATGAGGTAACATTCATGGTTCTCAAACCCAGCGTAGTAACTTCAATGGCTCTCATACATGTTCGAACGATAATCTCTAGCACTGTCAACCGTTCGCTCAACCTAAAGCTTAAGCGCACTTTAAAATACTCACTATGTTCTTCTGGTTCCCTCAACATATTTACCAGTTAACACCGCCTGATACTCAAGGTTTCAACCCAGGACAATGCTTTGCGTACGTTAGGCCACTTCGGACAGCAGCTTTCTCTCACATTCAGCAAATATCAGGTCTCGTGCTTTCACGCAAATCTAAGGATATGATGTATAACATATCCGGTCACTCCATTGATTTCAACCAGCACAACTTTATCATAACTTTTATATTTGTACATTAACATGGTCCTATTCTATTTTCTTGGCAGTTTGCTCGGTCCGTTTTTCTCCTCTCTC